GATCTGTCCGATAATTTTTTAACCGCCTATAACTTGAGAAGTACTCCTCAGATTTTGATGAAATTTTAGTTAAGGTTACTACTACGCCATGAAAAAGCTTTGTAGATTTTGAAAATCGGTTTAGAGGAGGCGGAGCAAGTGGGAAATACACGAAAACAATAAACTCCGTTCTTGATGTTTCGGAGGCTCCTGATCATTCACGAACATTTTTTGCAGGGGTTGAAACTCGAGGGTTGGGAGTCGTAGGGAGTAGAGGGTTAAAAAGGTAATGCCTTTAGTATAGAGAGGTTCTATCATTGAGAAGCTTTTAATCCCAGTAACAACGGGAAAATTAAATAATAAAAGTCCGATGTATAATGTGCTCATAATTCGAAATAACTGGATTCGTTGGTGTTTGCGTGCACGACGTATCATCGTGTAGACCACTGCCGACTGTGCAATGGATAACTGTCTGCGGTGGTGTCGTCACTAACACACTGCCACATGAGACATATTTAGATATTTTACATTTGGATATTAGGAGTACGTACCACTTTAGCGTTCTGCGATGCTTTTGTGTTTTTGTGTGTTTTTATATGTACACATATATTTTTCTAAATTTTATAAAATAGAAATAATATTCCGTCTATGATGGTTCTCTGAATATTTCGTCGGGTAGATTGACTCAGTACTTACGACGCATTAATATTCAACAACCACGGACTGACAAACTGACAAATGAGAAACACGAAGATAGTGTTACAACGTTTCATAGATCCCTGCTCCTTTTTAGACATTGTCCGGTGGGGATGAAAAGTGTAGGTTGGAAGCTATGTCCGGTAAATGGTTGTAAATTGTTGCATATTTGGTTTCAGTCAAATAGTTTTTATTATTAAGAAACTGCTGATCTCAGTGATAGTGTGCACCTATTAGACATAATAAGTAGTGATAGCTTTAATATAGTTTGATCAGGTCGAAGATTCGTCGCACTTAAGTGAGCCTACCTAATCACGATTCGATTTCGTATTTTGAAAGGACTTGACTCAGGAAGAGCCTATATAGTCAATCTAAATGACTCCATTTTTTCTGTCACATATATTTGGTATAGGAAGAGTATACGACATTAGAACCCCGCTCTGATTCTCAGTGCATGCTCTGTCGCTAACAGCTAGCAATTCACCTTGAAATTTGAGAAATAAGCAAAACGTAATTTAAACTTTAATTTTCCGTCCGAATTTTCATCGATCTAACTTTCAGTTGCCAGTTGCGTTTTTCCCTACAGCCAATTCCGTTGCAAACTGGCCCTGAGAAATATTGCACCTTTGTGTCAAGGATTCCGTATTTGCAGACACGTGAAAAATATTTCCTCTGTTAAGGCGGTTATGCACTAAACGGGCAGTTGACTTTATATTGTGTTTGAATTTTATAAAAACTGAAGCAAACCCAATTCTCTTGTTTCCTTCAAGTTCCCTTAAATGAAAACTAAAGGGATTCACAAACTCACGTTTCTTACTATGAAGATTATACGGGATTATTTTCATACTACGATCCTGTATAAAAACAGCATTTATTATTGCAAATATCGTGCTCAAGAATAAATTGTTATTGTATTTACACCGAGATTCAGCCCACAAGCAACCTTTATGCAAAAATCTCCTTGAAACGTTTGAGGCACATTATAGGTTCTTCGCCACAATAACTGTTTCCTACTTTTCATCGGAATCTTTCAATACGTCTTGAAAAAAAAAACTGGACAATTATGTAAGAAAAGGTCAAGTGGCATTCTGTAATTTTATATCTGCATACAATGTCACGGATCATGAATGAGAGATGGGTACGAGAAGTCGCAAAGAAAAATGTTGTTGTTGAAGAAAAGCACGTACACAAAGGCATTCTTCGTACATAATTATTATGGCGCCTAATGCATAAAGATATTAAGGTTGCAGAATATATTTCGAACTTTTGTTGCTAGAATACTGGTATATTTGAAGATCCCTGATCAACTTACATTGAATGAACGACTCGAAGACCAAAGTGGTAACATTAATAATATTTGTAATAGCATTTATTGTCAAACAGTTTTTTTATACCTCTACTTACAGTACAGGGAATTGAAATCTGACATAACAATAAAAAAACTGCAATACTAATTTATTCAAATTTAATAGAATACACAAACATTAATATAATATTAATAACGCTATTTAAGGTGCTGACATAAAACTCTCTTGAGTTGAGGAAGAGAACACATAAAGATATCACAAATACTGCCTATTCTGTTAAAGTTTATGCACATGATTCTTACAGGAGATTTTGAAGCTGAGTTGGTATTTGCGCGGGTGCAAAAAGATGGTATTGTTTCTAGAACATGTCCTTGGAAAAATTGGAGCTGGGACAACAGGCCTGAAGAATCAACAATAACCATGTAAAAGTTTATGTAAGAAGACGACGATCGGTTTCTTCTCTTACTCAAGGAGACAACTTGGAATCTTTACAATACTTGATAGTTCGACCCGTTTCGATGATAAACTGAATGAATCTTGAAAACCAAATACTTAAGACATTTCTTTTAAATATGGTCGATTTGAATTATACAGGGTGTTTTCAAAGTTGAGTCATTTATTTTAACTGCTTGTCGTAGTTGATATACCAAATATCACCTATATAAAAGTTGCACAATTAAAGAAATAGTAAAGGATAAACAATTTAAAAAAATAAGAATGTTTTTACAGAGATTCATCTTTGGACAGTAGAAAATCCGCATGCTGTAAAAAGAACTCATTTTCAACATAGATTTTCATTAAATGTTTGGGCTGGCGTTGTAAATGGCATGCTTATTGCACCCTACTTCTTTTCACCTTGACTGACCGGTGAAATTAATTTAGATTTCTTTCGACACAATTTGCCATAATTATTAGATGTTCCTCTAAATGTAAGATAGGATATGTGGTTCCTAGATGACATTTTAGACGAGAGGTTCATGAACATCTAAATAATGAGTTTCCAAATAGGTGGATAAGGCGCTATGGACTCATTTCTTGGCCTGCTCGCTGCCCGGATTTACAGCCGTGCGATTTTTTTCTGTGGGGCTATTTGAAAGGGTTGATGTATCAAGATGGAGCAACAAATACGCTGGAAGAACTTCACTGAAAATGCTTGTGATTTAATTCGTGGACATCAGGATTTTATTTTCGAAGCTTGTAAAGAGTCGTGGATTTGCCGAGCTAGATTTTGCGTTAATCGAACAAATGGAGACAATTTTGAACAGTTTTTGTAAAAACGGTATCTATTTAACTATTGCAACTACCAGATTGCAAATGTAAACTAACTGTCTTATTATGCAACTTTTATATTGGTGATTTTTGGTATATCAACTTCTTTTGATGCTGTTAAAATAAATGAGTCAACTTTGAAAACACCATGTATGCTATACAGAGAAAGATTTTGAAATCTGAATTTTTATAATATCAATTGATCTCAAGATATGTACAATATCACATAATTACGATCAGAAAGCGATGGTGGTATTATGGAACACATGACTATTTATTTATTTATTTAGAACCCATACACTGCCTGAACAGATTATTTCAATTAACAGGCAGAGGAACAAACAAATGCATACAAAAAATTTAGACGGTTCGTGATATGAATCAGACAAAAGTATATCTCACTCAAATTAGGAAGGTACATTTTTTAATTTCTTAACCAGAATTTAAAACTCTATTCATTTTAACAAAAATCCAGTATGGCATCCCTAAAAAAATTTGATGCTTGAGGACAAGCAAAAAACACCATATGGAGACTTCCCCACCTTATAGAGGAGAAAAAGTAATGTTGGTGTGTTTTATTTTGAAATCCCGCCTCAAAACTACGTTTAGGAAAAGGTTTTTTCTTTTGCCTGCGGAAATACCATAAACTGCAAAACTTTCCAATTGACATTTTTCCAGTTACGTAAATCCCCATTCCTAACTGATCTCCAATCTCTTACCGTTTCCGAGATACCTATGATAGAGGGACTCGAATTTGAAATACACGGTACGTACGTTACTTCCCAAAAACATGACTATTACAATTAAAATAATTCCTCGCCAATTCACGTGATGTGTAAGAACAGAAAATTTCAAATTATTATAAATAATTAAGTCCGAAAATCAAGTATGACTAATTCATTTGGAATAAGGTCAATATAAAGATTGAGATAACAAGAAATCAAATTACAGTAAAAAAGCTTGGGGTGCTCGGTATTAAATGTTTTTTAGTTACCATTTACATAAATTCGATTCAATATCAAAATATAATTAATTATTCCTATTCCACGATAAATGAATTTTTTGTTGATATCTTAATTTTTATATTGATCTTATTCTAAATTAATTGGTCATATTTGATTGTTGGACTGTTCATTGCAGTAACACAAGCTCTTCTATACTTGAAAATGAAAATTGAAAATACTTTTGAGTTAGTTCGATTTGCTATTGAAGCGTGTTTTTAGTTTTTTTAAACTATAATATATTTTTTGAATTTTTAGTTTCAAAACGACAATAAAAGTACTTATACTTAAGAGCTTCGATTTTACGGTATATTTGACAATAAATCTAAATTTGCTTAAACATTACTTAAACTTCTACAATTTCCAATTTTTTTAAAATTTCCAAATCTTTAAATTATTTTCCAATTGTTCATATCCATTTTTTTTAAATTTCATTCTGCAATTTTTTTTCTAAATTCTAAATTCGAATTTTTTTGAAGATTGTCATTAGCGCTTGACCCCTGTGCAAATTCAATCAAGTTATTCACACTTTTGGTAAAAAATGGGTCAAAAGATTTCGTTTCATACCTACATACATACCTACACATACGGATCAAGCTAATAAAAATATTTGCGCGGGTATTAATAAACGTGTAACAGTCTTCAAAGACCAACGCACATGAGCTAATGCTGCAGCGGCACAAGACCTTTGATGTTATCACATAAATAAAAAAAGAGAATAAAAAACTTAATAGATCACACCACTTACAGTCCAGTCCGAACGTCCCAGTAACGATATCCTCATTAAGAAGCGACTCAGCGACCGCTTTTGTTTTTCTTGATTTTGATAGCCAATCAGCGTGCAGAGCTGCGATAGCACATGTTTCCCGCGCGACTGTTACACCGCCAACTGAGTATTGGAGCGAGTCCAAGACCGTTTTTACTCTTTGCCGTGCTGCACCAACGAGTTGTATGCAAATTTTACTAGCAGGTATCGCACGGCGTGTTTCACCCGCTTTTGACAGGTTTTTTGGCGGTAGATTGCAGTACATACGAGAGGACTTCGCTTTTAACAAGCTTTTAACTTTTACCGTAGTATGTTATGAACCATTCACCTACAACCAATTGAGTTGAGATTTTATTAGTTCTCATGACCTTACACGATAAATTAAATAGCGTCATTTTGAATCCAATATGACAAACGATATTAAATAGCGTTTTATCATTTCCACAGTAACCCCTATGATATGGGTATCAAATGAAAAGGCTGGATGAGGAAAATACAATAAGCAATGCGATGTCAGTCTGAATCCAATATGGCGGCTGCCACAAAATAGCGATTTATCATTTCCATAGTCACGCCTATGATATAGCTATCAAATGAAAGGGCTCGACGAGAGAAACATCATAAGTAATGTGACGTCATTTCAAATCCAATATGGCACTACCCCAAAATGGTGATCTATGATTTTGATAGTCTCTCCTACGATATGGGTATCAAAAGAAGGGGCTCGATAAGAGAAACACCATAAGCAATGTGACGACATGCAAAATCCAATATGGTGGCTACCGCAAAATGGCGATCTATTATGTCCGTAGTGGCTCCTGTAATATGAGTAAGGTACCTGTACCAAATAAGGCCACATTAACGTTTGGATAGCTGTAACTGCGTAAATATTTGCGAAACGACCTTGAAATTTTAAAGGTATTATTCTAGATATGTTTATTACACAAGCTACATCGGAGAACTCAGAGACCTTTTCTTTTCATATAAAAAAAAATATATTTTTCGAAACACTACCGTTGGCCTTATTAGGAACCGATGTATCCAAATAAGGCCACCATCTGGTTTTCAATAAAACCACAATCAAAATGTAAATCAAGACTGTATAATAAACGAAGATATATTTCTAATTAAACAAAATTAAAAAAACACTTAAATCTAGACAGATTTAAATAAAAAAAGTCAACTTGTTTAAAGAAAATCATACAGAATCTTTGATTTTGCCTTCGCAATGATGACAAACAAATGATACTTTATCACCTCTACACAAGCCTACACATTCCTCATGGACATATCTTAAGCATACTACACACAGACGCATGTCACGTACTTTATCCTTATTGCATATGAAACAGTACCAGTTTTCGTCTTTATTCTTTCGGGACCTTTTGCTTTTAACGGTTCCAGACTCACTAGATTTTTTTAATGTTTTATCTAAGCCGGATGGACCTGGATTTGGGTCTTTAAACAAATCTCTTACGACGATTTGCGCAGTAGAATTGGTGGCTTTTCGTCTTTTTGTGGCGTTGGCCTTCCATTCGGGTGTGAGAAGTACTTCCCTGAAACTTAGATCCAATTGATCACTGTCTATTTGACCAGTCACAAGATTTGTTGTTTCAAGAACTGCAAACTTTTGAGTCGAGTTTATTTCTTTTTCATTAGAAGTAGCTGTTATCTGTAACATTGAAGTTCCGTTGGCCATCAGTAGTGCAAGGGGTATGTCATCAGATTCTGTAAAGCTGACATCATGGTTTTCCTCATTCTCCTCCTGATCATCTGTAGCTGCCGTATTTGAATCGGGCCTCTCTGACATTAAACTAGGTGTAAATGCAGTCTCCGGGATCGCAGCTAGGTCGTGTGGGTATATTCCTGTTGCGCGAAATCCTGACTGAAGATTTTCAGAAGACATGGCCCTTGGATACACTTTCCTCAGAATTTCTCCAAATCTTGCACGATTCAACTTCCTGTCAGGATACCGCTTGTAATGGTTAAGTATTTCATTTTCCCAATGATATTCGAAACTGCGGAAAACACATTTATCCAGCGGTTGCAGCACGTGTGTCGTGTTACTCGGAAGACACAATAAAGTGATGTGATGTTTTTCGGCGGCGTCAACAATAGTTGCATCCAAATGAGAACAGGCACCATCAAAAATGAGAAGAATATCTCCTGGTGGCTTATAGTTTGCTAGATGGTCTAGCCATTTAACAAACACTGCTGCCGTCATACTTCCTTTTTGGGTCATTTCAATTACTGTTCCGGTTGGCATATTGTCACCCCATTCATCCTTTTTACGTTTTCCCTTGAACAGGACCATTGGTGGTATTGCCTGTCCAATAGCATTTCCACATGCAACTATTGTGGAATTTTCTGCGTGCTCATTAGCTACATAGTGAACACGTCTTTCACCTTTCCTCGCCAACACATTTGGTTGGCGGTGGATGGTGAGTCTGCACCCCTTCTCATCTACATTGTAGATACGATGGGGCTGATTGATTAGGTTTAGTCTAATCAACAAACTTTCTAGTTTTTTGAAGTAGTCGTTTACTATGTACTTATTTACTTTCTGTGCCCTAGCTGGATTTAAAACCTGTGCTTTCCTTTGGCGAATATTTTCATGTCTGTCCAAAAACGACGATTTTTTTTGTCATTAACATAGGAAAAGACGGATTTTCGCAAAATCTTTGGTGTGAGGGGCATTCCTGTATCCGATAATCGGATTATCCTTGAGCATAGTTCATCTTCCTGGTCTATAGACAAAATTGTACGAGTACCAAGTTTTCTTTCTCGCACACCTGTACGAACATGATTGCGAAGTGTTCTTCGTGGAATTTGGTATTCTTTGGATGCACGATTTACCGACGTTCCACTGTTTATACTATCCAGTGCTTGTACAAGCGCTTCGGTTGACCACAGCGCCCTTTTCTTAGAGAGCATATTTCGACTACAGTCTCTGAAAAAAAAACATTTTAATTTAAGACATCTGCCGTAATGGCCAGCGTGTTCCTAATAAGGCCAAGTGGCCGTAATGGGAACCGTTTATCATGGCCTTATTAGGCACATATAACCTTAAACATACAATTTATAAAATACAAAATATTTAAAACCTGGCGACGACAAATAACTAGCTGTAGATGTTCTATAGACTTACCTGATTGAACTGACAACAGATTTCGCAAAAAGAAGCAGACAACATGAAAAATCGAAGACAAATTTAAAGTAGTAATTTTGTAAGGCACGTGTTGAAAATCGACACTGGCTAACTGCGCCATCTAGCGCCGCTCCACACCTGCTACATTTATGGGTGCTAACTCATCTCAATGAATGTATAGAACTGTAGAAATCTTTAATTCTAGATGTAACTAGTGTATGTAAAATCGACGCATGGCCTTATAAGGAGCTTGGCCTTATTTGGTACAGGTACCTTAACTGATAAAGAGGCTTGACGACATAGGCGCCCGTAGAAGGGAAGGCAGAAGGAGCCATAGTCCCTATGAATATCAGAGTATACTTGAAAATTTGCATATTTGCCATGGTTTTATGTACAACTTTGTGATTTTTTCGGTTTTGTCTCACCTCCCCTTGAAAATTTCATACTCCCCGCTCTTCAAAAGTATTTGGAGGCAAGAACACTTTGAAAAAAAGCTATTTCCTGTCAATAATCAGGCTCCTTCAGAAAAATTCATTCTAAATACAGTATGGCGGACGTTCAATATGACAATCGACATGGGCGGAATTAGACATCTGTCAAGGGTGCAAGGGAAGTGCGGGAGTTGGAGTGGCGCCAGCGTGCTTAAGCACTTAAGCAACGTTTCTGAGAACAAATGATCTTGTGACAATTGAAGAGTGGGGATGGGATACCTCTAGGGGTGCATACGTCTCTATCGTATCTAGCAATGTAATTTTGAAACCAAAATAAAGCAATATATACCATTTTCTTGGAAAGACGGCCGACCTAGGCGGCTAGAGGAGGACGCGCGCAAAAAGGAAAACACATGTTTAAGGACAATCTTCTATTTAACTTTTTGCGATTGGAAATATGCTCCTGGATATCAAATTTTCACATAAAAACGAATTACATGAATAGCTTTATGAGGAAAAGCGAATAACACGGTTTCTGTTTTTTTTTTGTAGAATCCTTGGAACATTTTGATCATGCCGCGTATAGTTTACCTTAGTAAATCACATGGAACGTTTCCGAAATTCGCTAGATCGAATTAACATTTAAATGCGCCTGAATTAAGAAGAACGTATTTATCATTTTGGGGACATTTACACCAAACAAAAAAAGGAAGGTGAATAACACCTGAAATTCTAGATATACTGGTTCCACTGAAATATCGAAGCCAATTCCACATTAATTATGGAACTTATCCTATGTTTGCTCATTAAAAAAATACCTCACTGGAGGCGAGGCCAATTCTTGACAACAAGGAATTAGAATAACTAATAATAGAAAGTGGGCTTGGTTCTCTTACTTTTCAATTGAGCGAATAAATTATCTGAAGTCTCTTTGAGAGAAACGTCGGCCTTGGGTTATTCTCTGGATAAATAGCATGAGAAAAAGTGCAGGAGTCTCACCGTCGTCCATCAGTATCATCTCTAGAGATAAAGCTAATTATCTGATGGAACAATTATTGATACGAAAAACCTGAAAATATATTGTTTTTCTGAAAACGGATGAACTCACAAAATTATTCTCGTGTTGGCCAGTTCACAGAGCTGAATCAAGCTAGAATGAGTAGCAGGAGCCTGGCTAAGCCATCTGGTAGGCCAGATCGTCGGCTTTCTCACGAAGTGTCCTAACCAACGGTTAGTGAATTTTACAGGAAAGCAAGAAAACGGAATCAGCGTGTTGTTGATTGAGCATTGTATGTAAAGTTTAGATATTTCTGAATTGAAAATTCACGTGTATTAGCCTATATTCATTGTGAATCATATGCCGTTTCAATATTTGCGGTAGCTTATCAAGCTATTTTGGAAAAAAATGTAAAACGCGCGTAGGTCACTTCGTGAGAATTTTCAGAAGATTTTTGTCAGACAGAGCTAAAATATATTTTCATTGAAGTTCTTGTTATTATAATTTTGTAAGATATAGAGAATTTGTTTCATTTACTTATAAGCAAAGAATCATATTTCCAGCCAAGGGGGAGATTGTCCCAGAAAATTTGTCGATTGTTAAATTTTTTAAGTAATCGTTGGTCTGCTGACAGCAAAGTTTATGTAAAAAAGTTCAGATCGACTTTTGAAGTTTGGCTACCCCCTAAAATATTTTCCTCAATGTCCATGCCTAAAATTGATGTAGATTATGACAAAAATGTTACGTGATTAGATGAAGAAAACAACTCGAAACGTCAAACCAATTTTTATTGAAATAAAAACTAAAAGAAAAGCAACTGACTTAAATATTATATTTTGACATATTACCAGCAAATGTTGATGTGTTGTGATACACAAAAAAGGCAAAATTATCAATAATTCATTCCGTTTCATGGGCCAAATTTTGTAAAAGTTTTGGAATTCTGGTAAGCGTACAACTAACTGGCGTTTTTCGGATTTTACATAACGAAATTAAGTCGGAGTACTTCTTTTTTGTTATTTTTAAGTTGTTCTACTTTAATATCATTTATATTATTACTATTTCTCATCAGCCTTTTTAATTCAATACTGTCATAACTAGTATCGTGGTCGCTGGACTTAAAAAATATTTTGGTGGGCGTGTCTTTTATTGCAATAAACTCCGTTTAATATTTTGCCCCTCCTCAGCTTGCCGTGTGGACAATATTCTTAAATCTTTTGAAAGTTTCTTGAAGTCAAAAAATTCGTTGGGAATTACTAAATAAGGTTGACGTTTTCTGGCGAATCAAAAAACCGGATAAAGTTATGAGGGTTCAAAAAGATCTCCAACTCCCGTTATCGCAGTATGAATTGCACTGTGAGCAGATTCTCCCTCACTTTGGCCATGATTCCACCACCGAGGAGCGTATACTAACAAGGATTATTGGACACTAAGGGACTTATCTTCATTTAGGTCTCTTCGTGGGAATCATAAATTTACCTTTGCAGATAAGACACCCAGGGGCTAACGGTGTGTTGCCCACACTAATAGATATACAGGGTTATCCAAATTAAGTGTCCACCATTAGTAACTTTGTTATTAGTGAAAATACAAAGTTGTTTGAATTAGCAAACTAGTAGCATTTTTAACGCTGGTAAAAATGAGAAATAAAAAAAAAACAATTGAGAGTCGTTATTTTGATTTTTTCAGTAAAATAACATTTTTTTAAATGGAAACCCCTGTATATTATATTTTTTTCTGTTAAAGCATCAAATTTTAAACAAAAAAGTTCATAATGACTTTTCCGCTAAAGTCAAAAATAAAGTCAAAATAACGATAAATATTTTTAATTATTTGCAGTATTATAATATTAAGACGGCTATGAAAACAACATGGCGTTCGCGATTTGACAGCATTAAGATAAGCGACAAATTGTTAAACTGGACATACCCGCAACTAGAAGGCTTTGGAAAACAATGATAAAATCAAATAATGTCAAACATTAGTGTAAATACTTGTTTATAAGCTTTATTGTGTCATTAATTTAAAGAAAAATGTTCTCCCATGAAGAAAAGTGTGATATGTTAGAATGCTATTTAGTGTGCAGAAAATCCTCCTTGAGAGCAAGAGAATACTACAGTGAATTATATCCCGCTCGCATTCAACCGTATGAACGATATTTTCTGAGACTTTATCGAAAATTTAGGGGCAACGAAAATGTTTTTGCTAAAACAAGGGCAAAAAAAGAATTCATAATAAGCGAGGCCACGGAAATTGCAGTTATTGGATATTTTGAAGCTTATCGTGAGAATTCAATAGCAGATATTCTCAAGGACTCTAATTTCAGTTATGGTACTGTTCAAAGGATTTAAAAAAAATACAAATTTATTCCGTATAAGTACCGACCAGTTCAAACGCTTTTGGCAGGGGATGCAGAGAGAAGACTTGTTTTTTGCCATTGGTATCTTAGCTTCTGTCGCCAAAATGTAAATAACTTTCGTTACCTTTTATGGACAGATGAATCAAATTTTTCAAATTCTGGAATGTTTAATAGAAAAAACCACCATTATTGGTCAAGAGAAAATCTTTTGTTAGTACATCCAAGAGGCCCACAAGTCCGTTTCAGTTTCAACGTTTGGTGCGGTATAATTGGTTCAAAAATTGTTGGCCCGTTCTTTTATGAGGGAACCCTAACTGGTGAAAGATATGTGGAATTTATGTCAGAAATTCTGACTAATTTCTTAGACGAATTGGATCTTATAAGTAGACATCATCTGCATTTTCAGCAAGATGGCGCACCTGCCCACAACTCCAGTGGTACTTATCATTTTCTAAGTACTACTTTTAATGATCAGTGGATAGGAACAAATGGCCCAATACAGTGGCCTCCCAGATCACCAGATCTAAACCCACTTGATTACTTCTTGTGGGGTTACTTAAAGAACCAAATTTACAAGCGAAGGTACGATAACCTTGACGCGTTAAAGACTGCAGTTAGGGAAAAGATAACCCAGATAGATGGTAGGACCATACTTAAGACAGTTCGAGCAGTTGAAAAACGTGCCCAAAAATGTATTGAAGAACAAGGTGGTGTTTTCGAGCATCTTCTTTAAAAAAAATTGTTATTGTATTTTGTAAGATTATAAGTTGATGTTGAAAATAAAGTTTGTCGATACAATTTAATTGTTTCAGATTGGAGGCCATAACTTCAACAATTTGTAACCTAGGAGAAAAGTTATTGTAAGCTTTTTTGTTTAAAATTTGATGCTTTAACAGAAAAAAAATATAATATACAGGGGTTTCCATTTAAAAAAATGTTATTTTACTGAAAAAAATCAAAATAACGACTCTCAATTGTTTTTTTTTATTTCTCATTTTTACCAGCGTTAAAAATGCTACTAGTTTGCTAATTCAAACAACTTTGTATTTTCACTAATAACAAAGTTACTAATGGTGGACACTTAATTTGGATATATATATATATATATAGTTATACTTCTATATATATATATATAGTTATACTTCTTCGTCAGATTAACCAGCATGGAATAATACACCTATAGGTATGCGGGTTATCTCAATTTTTGGTATTTTGTCAGTTAGAACACTTCGTGAGAAAGGCGACGAGATGATGAACTGTGTAAGAGTGCTATCTCGCAAAAGGGGAAACACTCCAAGTGGAGTCCTTTTTTCTCGCATTTTATCAAAAATCTATTGACCCTCATGACTTTGCCTCTAGCTAGGTATATCCTCGTATGTACCACTTAAGTCTTCTTTCTACTAGTGATGTCTGGATATAAATATCCGTGTACGGCATATATTAACAACAACATACTTAAATATAAGTTTGATTGGTTCAAAAGCATAATGACATACTAGGAGTAAATGACCCTTTGTAAACGTGAACCAGATGAATCTACTTTCATAATAATACCTAGTAATATACAGACTGTAACAAAAGTTTGGAACGCATCAAATATCTGACGAATGACTTTTTGAAAATTGGTAGGTTTAGGTTCAAAAATACAGCTGATCTGTTGATGATATCCGCGATGTTTGCCAAATCTAGTTTTTCAGAAACTGATAGCAACTCTTGTATTCTGCGAGAAAATTCTGAATACTTTGTTGAACATAC